AAGAGGGAATCTGGGACACTGTTGACTATTGGGCCCTAAAACAAAGAGGGTTTGTCTTAACCCTCTGTTGGGCTCAACTGATCTCACAGATTCATTGCACACGAAGAATCAACTATGAAATACATCTTTGCTGTACTAAGTCACAAACACGACTGGCGATAGGTTGCGGTAGAGGGGGAAGATACGGAAGTAATAAGTTCTGATACTTAAGTTAACTGTTAGATATTTGAAAATTTGTGTGCAATGAATCTGTGAGATCAGTTGCGCCCCAACGGAGGGTTTTAAAGAAGGCAGAACCTAGGGTTGGACAGGCCTAGAGGTAGAGAAGAGGGAGAGGTGGTGATAGATGAGTAATAGCAACACATTCCCACCTCTAAACAGTATTACTACATCCGCTCCTTGTGAATGCACAGCAGGGGGAATTAGCCCTTTTCGGGAAGGCAGGCAAAGAGCGAGATGCTCTGGGTGTTGTACAGGAAGGAACGGCAGAGGGCTAGGTCATGAGAGTTAGAGTAAGTTTCAATGTTCAACAACCTAGTCATAATAATAAAGGATAACTCTGCGTGAAACTCCATTCTTCCCTGCCTGGTCCTCAAAACAGATGCTCTTTGGTTGTTGCAGCTCATCATGTGAACAGCCTTTCCCCTTCCTCCCCCAAGCTTAGGATGGAAGCCCCTTTCCCTCCTCTCCGTGACTCCTGGCTCACATTACAGCCCACCACCTATTTCTTAGAGTGTCCTATATGTGGTTGTCTCACCCACGAACACTGGATAGAGCTGCTCAAGGGCAGTGACCTGGTTAATTTCTCTGTGAATCCTTAGCATCTAGGTATTCACACATATTAGGGCACGATAGTGTTTGTTGTATGAATTAAATGACATTTATTCAGTTAAATGAGCATTTAAAAATTTTCAACCAATTTCATTTATTACGCCCTGCAAGCTGTTACATGCTGGCAAGACAAAAATAAATTAGATTGGTCATTGCTTTCCCCTGCCCATGGGGGTTGCCGTTTGGTGGGGCCAAGCCAAGAGGTGGACATAGTTCTTTTATCCAGAATCATAAAATTTGATTGCTTTCTCCAGTAAAAGGACCCAGGATTATGCTTTCATTTATGAGCGGAGCCTTTCATTGAAATACCTTTCATGACCCTAATAAATGCCACCATCTTTCTTTTAAAGTCATTTCTATTTCCATTGTGATCATCACATGGTGACTAAATTGAGCTTTTTCCAGGTGAGGCCAGAGACTTCACCGCTGCCCATCAGAATGAGCCCGTCCTCTCCCTCCTCCATGAGCTCTCATATCCCTAGTCACTGTTGGACTGCAGCTAAACATGGCACAAGCGTCTTCATTAAACTGTCCACAGTGATTCATAGTTGCCTTCCCCCAGAGGTTATGCATAATTCAAAACCCACCAGCGCACCAAAGCCAGGCGGCTTAAATCGCCCCTTCCAGGATATGTTACCTTGCGTTGGCCCACTCGGAATTTCATTTGCTCCCCTGAGGGCAATTACTCTGTCCAGCTGTGCCCGGCTAGGGTTCCTCGGCCCCTCCCTCACCTGAATGGCTAAGAAGCTGACTCTTCCCTGTGTAGGCATCAACTCTATGTCTGCTCTGTGCAAAACTGCTGAACCCTGTGAGGCAAGACTCATTCAGAAGGGAACCCCACCATGCTGGGACCATTGTGGCAAACCAGGAAGCAGGCAAATAAACAGTCAGCCCTTGATGGTTGGTGGTGATGAAGGGAGAAGAGTCAGAACATGGGAGGCAATCCAAGCCTCGCCTCTCTTGGCTTTGGAGTATACTAAGCATGACACACCCTCATATGCATTCTTGCACTCTCCTCCTGGCTTATTTCTGCTTTCCGCCGGCCGAGTCATGGAGAACAGGCCACCTTGGGTCCTTGAGACCCAACCGGATAAATTAATTCACCACAAACTGTGTGCCGTCAGGACCCCAGTGAAGAGATCGTGGAGGTGCAAGAGAGAGAAACCAAGAAATCATTTTCATGGTTTCCTTTAGAAAGAAAGGGAAGAGGCAGGGCATGGAGGGCAGGAGCCACGTGCAAATTAAGAGGACATTAGGGTGAGTTTGCCTGACTGGAGCCTATGGAAGAAGGTGAGTCTGGGGGCTTGGATGAGGCCACTTGTTCCTGAGACCCCTGCAAGAAAATTTTCTAGGCCACGTATTGCCAGCTACGCTGCACTTGCCTCTCAGGAGTCAGCTGACGCCCATCAATCCTCCCTGCCGTCACCTCAGCCTCTGTCAGTCTTCTGCCCCCATCCCCCTTTCCCCTACCCTCATGCCTTCCCTGTAGCTCAGGTGGCCCCTGTTCTTAGCAGTGGCCATTACTAATCTAATTAGCAGGCACTAGCACTATGGTAAGTCCTTTACCTGGATTACCTCATTTAATTGTCACAGCTACCCCAACAGGAAATGGTCACTGTTAAGATTGCCCTCATTCTACTGAGAAAACTGAAACTCAGACAGGTGAAGCCATTTCTCAAGGTCACACAGCAAGTCCCTGCCCAAGCCAGAGCTTGACATGGGGGTCTGGCTGTGGTGACCATGTACTGATGATGTGTACATGGTCACGAACAGCTCACACCAGCCTCCTCAATCAAGGAAGGTCTTAGAAATACCTTTTTTTTTCTGGAACATCTACAGCTTCTATGGTCCACTAGTGTTTGCACTGGGGAAGCACACATTTCTGCTTTGTTTTAAAAATACCCCAAAGTAACAGAAATAGCACAATCACCTTAGGACACTGGCACCCCTTTTTTTCTGACTGCTTCAGTGTGCTTAGGTTGATGGCAACATATTGCCTCCAAAAAATTCCAGCTGTGTAATTAATAATGAAGGCAATAATAACAGCTAACATTCATTAGGCACCTGTTATGCTTGGCTCTGTGCTGATTAAAGTAGAAAATTTTGTGGTTTCCACTTTAGAGGAGAAAAGAGAGGCACAGAGAGGTTGTGTCTTGCCCGAGGTCTCACAGCTGGTCAGTGGCAGAGCCAGGCCTTGGACTCAGACCTGACTAAGCCTTTTATTCCCGGTGGTCTGTGGTCTGGCATGCCCTAAGCTGGGTTAACTTCAGCCCTTCAGCTAAGTCATTATATGCTGGAAACCTAACTATGCACCAAGTGAGGGAAGATAAGAGGGGCCTAGGGTAGTGGTCTGGCTGTGGAGGATGAGTAAGGATCCCAGACCAGGGGCCACAGTCCCAGGATGATGAGATATTTGGGAAAGGCAAAGAATGTGCAAAGGGGGACAAGGGCAGGGAAAGAAATTTGGAACAGGGAGCTGAAAGAGGAAAGGGTCACCAAGGGCAAGATTTATCAGCTTCACAATTTTGCATGAATTTTGTTTATGGCCATGTGGAGTTATTTGTTGGGGTGCCTCATGGGGACTTATAAAGGGAGGCATTTGGATCAAGGAAT